AACCCAGTGATACTGAATCAGATTTATACTGTATTTCTGTACTGTTGATATAAACATTTAATATAAAAAAACGGACTTTTTCCCTGCCTTTAAGCTTCTTGCTTCTTGCAAAAATGAGACTGTTTGCTGTTTTCAAAGTGTCTTGGTTTCAGGATGAGGAACACATTTTACTTCAAATAAGGAATATCCTCAGTTTCTGGTTCATGTGACATTTTTTCAAGTTTCTCTACCACTTAGTAATTAGCTAGCTTTGGTGCAATACCGTCTTTTTGAGTGATTTCACCCAGCAGCAGCCAGCGACCTCCTGCAACGACTCGTGACCAGTCAGGAAATATACATTTTTCCTTACCAAATAGGAGATCGCCTACTACAGAGAAAAGATAATGTCAAATGAAAAGAAAACCTCCTCACCAAATATGCATAACATTGCAGAGGAACATCCTTGTTTTCCTCATCGACAAAGAGTCCTCCAATGATGTATAGCTGGTTCTTCTTTGTCACCAGGCTAACGTGGTTACGTGGCACCTGCTCGGACATGGCTGCCAGGAAGCACTCGTTCTCACTGACGTCATATCCCACTGCTGCCGTGTCATTGATCATCAGGATGAAGTCACGAGCATACATGCCTTGTCTGCGATTATCATTCAGGAATCCAGGGAATGGACTGTCCTCCTCTTCACCTCCTTCCTTGCTGGCCCCCTCCTCTCCCTCATTCTTCTTGGGTTTCTCTGGCAGTTTGCCCTTGAAAGCATCCCTGATGACCTGAATCATCTTCTGAAGCTCTGGGTCAGCTTTGATAATCTCTTCAGTCTCCACTCTCTCTTTGAAGTATTTCTCAGGCAGGAGGCGGAATCGGATACAGTTGAAAGCATCCTTCAGGACCTTGAGGCGTTTCTCCCTGTCATGGCGGACCCAGGCCATGACGGCTTCGAAAACCAGTTCCTCTCTCTCAACATTCAACGAATCTCCACCAATAATGGCAAACAGTTCATGGGCTGCGAGTTTTAGGAATTCCTCTTCCTTATAAAGGAGTTCAAAGCGGTCAGCAATGTAGTTGCGTGCTGCGATGGCGAGCCTGGGACAGCTGAGCACCAGGCCCATCCTAAAGATGGCCAAGCAGTTACCCAAGGACAGCTTCTTCTGAAGGTAGTTGACACACACTGTGAAGACAGAAGGGATCTGGAACCTGTTTGCCACAGCAATTATATCCTGAACGTTGTCATCGGTGAGATCAATTTCAGCTGAGTAGAGGTACTGAATAATCATGTCCAGGATGGAAGGGTTAACATCCTCAAGGACCACCTCTTTGGTGTTCTCCACCTCCTTCCCATCTTCAGTAAAGAAAATTTCCCTGAAGTAAGGGCTGCAGGCAGCCATGATCAGCCGATGGCAGGGAAAGCTACGATCGCCTACCTTCAGGTGACAGTCCACAAACTTGTTCTCATTCAAAAGCTCTTTCAGGCCGTCCTGGAGCAGGGTGCTCTGAAACAGGCGCAGCTCCTCCTTGATGGCGTTGGGGTCCATGGTGTCAGGAGGTAAACAGTAGGAGAACAAAGGAGTTGGTGGAGAGAGGAAAGAGACAGTGGCCACAGGTCCTCTTGGCAGTCAGTGCTGGCTGGAAAAGGCAGAGCAAAGAAAAGGTTCCCTGTGTGAAGACCCTGCAATTTAATCCTGTCCCACTCTAAATATAGTTCCCTCTGGCCCCCTGAATGGTTCAGCTTCTATGGAATTTAACTGGGCCAAATCACAGTGCACCACAGGCCAGGGTTGAGCAGCTGCTGCCATAGACTGAAAGAAGCAACTGGCTGGGGATATGCCACCATGATTCAGCTCCCAGAGTGTCACAGGGTAGGTAACAGTGGAGACAATGTGGTCACATCCTACAAATAGCTTTCCTTAAGCTGGAGTCTTAAGAGACATTTACAGCAATCGCTGTCATATTCAAAATAAGTGCACCCTCTTAAAGTTGGACATATTGTTCACTGGCTCATTGAGTTTTTTTGCATTTACATTTTCAGATAATTATAGCCACTGATGTGCTTTTGTACTGAAACATACTCCAATTTCCATTGCTTTGCATTATATTATTGATATCAGATTTTGCAGATAATATAAAGTCAGTTTTAAATTGTGGCACATCTCAACCTAGGACCAAAAGATTCCCCCAACGTTATGATACCATCCTTCTTAAGTTCTTGTTTTATCATAGTAAAAAAGTAGCCTAAATAAGTAAACCTATGACAATAAAAGAAAAGTGCTATCAGTGCTTTTTTTAGGCTTATGAAATGAGATAGTATAATACTCACACAAGAACTTTCAGGTGAACTTCGTTCCAAATGAAAACCACCTGTGTTTAACTGTGAGTAGGTTTTTCTGTTTGATGTATTTTAACATTATAGTATTGCATCAAGTCTTGGTAGCTGGGGATCGGACCGCCAGGGCCTCCACTCCTGGCCACCGCTCACAATGCACCCGACCCCTACAGTGCCTCCTGCGGTGGGCCTGCAGGAAGATGGGCCCATGTCCAGGGGTGCACACAAGTGGTCTGCAGGTGCGCATGTGCTTTCAAAATAAAAGACGCACACCAGATAAGAAGTTGCAGTGCATGTTTGCGTACATTAAATTTTCTGGAGGAGAACAAACATTTGTTTAGAACACTTAAAGATGTCGAAGAAGCAAGCTCCTTTAAGCAATTACTTTGGTGTTCCTCCACCTCCAAAGAAATGTCAGAAGCGCTTCTTTTGCGGTTCAGACTCCTTCTGACATTGCAACTTCTTATCTGGTGCGCGTTTTTTATTTTGACATCGCATGCGCACCTGCGGACCACTTATGTGCACCCCTGCCCATGTCCCTTTTTCGGGCTATGCCTGGCAAGCAGCACAAATGGGCTTCCTCTGAAGAGTGGCTGGGAAGTTCAGCCATCTGGGAGGGGCTCAGAGTAGAGTCACTACTCCTCCACATCAAAAGGAGCCAGTTGAGGTGGTTTGGGCATCTGACGAGGATGCCTCCTGGACACCTCCTGGGTGAGGTGTTATGTCCCACCGGGAAGAGGCCCTGGGGCAGAACCAGGACATGCTGGAGAGATTATATACCTCTTGGTGTTCCCCCAGACAACCTGGAGGAGGTAGCTGGGGAGAGGGAGGTCTGGGCTTCTCTACTTAGGCTGCTGCCCCCGCGACCTGGCCCTGGATAACCAGAAAAAGATGGATGGATGGAGATAGCATCAACAATTCACTTTAACTGACAATATTAACATTTATATTTATGCTAATATCTGAGCTCGAAGTCAAACAGAAAAATATTGACGAGAAATGAAAAGAAATGAAATTCAAAATCAATTCATGGAAATCAAATGCTAATGGATTACAGCAGACTGATAGTCCACCACAAATGGGTCATTTGTAACGTGCGTTTGTGCACTTTACAGAGAACACAAAAAATTCAGGATAATAATAAGCTAATGTGGCAAGTTCATGTAAATTACTCACATGAGCAGGAGTCTATTGATATGAGTGAATTTTGCATAATGACAGCAAAAATTGTCTCTAGAAGAACTTCTTTCCACCAATCAGCATTATTCAGCACTTTCCTTGTTGGCTGTTGGTATGTGTCAGCATGTGTGTGTGGCACTCCGCTATTGAACCTTTTAAAACACTCTTCCATTCACCAAGATGATTTTAAAATGAAAACATTTATTTGATCTCCTTGGTCTTGAATGGATGGATGGTCACACCGCAGAAGTTACTACAAGATGTTAAAATGCCAATTAAAAAAGGTAATTACTGGTGCGTCTGAATCAATATGAGTCTTATTCCTGTTGCCTGATAAAGTGAGGAGTGTGTAGAGTTAGGTAACATTTCTCCCGTGGGCAGCGCTAAAGATAGATCACACTATGCCACTTGTCGAGGAGTGTCTAATGTAATTTAAGGAGAAGGATAGAGCTGACTCTGCCACTTCCCTAAAGCCACAGGAGGTTAATTATGCACACTTACACCATATTGAAATCACATTTAAGTAGCCATTTGTCCAGGGTATTAAGGGACTGTATAAAAATTACTGTTGGGGAAAGTGGATCAAAATTAAATTATATTTTACTCTGACTGGCCCCTTACTCTCGTTGGGTGCTTACTTGTTTTAAAAAAGATGGAGTTGTTTCGGTCGGTCACCCACCACCCAGCCTTTGTAACCTGGCACACAAAGCATGCCCAGGTTGAAGACATGTACAGGCATTTCAATATATAACCGATTACAGAGAGGAGAATGTTGCAACAGAAAGATGTAAAACCCTTAGCGATCACTTAGAAGAAGTTTAAACAGGAAGCTATTTATATTCTGTACCAGCGCCAATGCAGAGGTTTTTTTCCCTATGATCGCGTATCGTCAGAAGAACATTGCCCAGATTCTGGTGTTTTTCAACACAAATATAAATGGTTACAGGGCTGAGGTAATAATAAAGCCCGCAGTGATCACAAACAAAGTTTTACCCTTTTCAAATGGGGCATCCCAACTGTGGAGATGATTTGACTGTGAAACCAATGGACATCACCCACATTAACATTACCTGATTTACTCTCCTTTCTGACCAATGCTGACCAACATTTACAAAAATAATTTCATGTTGTATTTAATGTGACTTAACATAATTGATGGAGCTCATGAAGTCATCATGAAAATAGTCACAGAGCATTCCATCTTTTATATTCAGTCTATGAAAGCCTATGTTAATGTTCATATCTGAACCATTAACCATCAAGAACCATGAACTGCTACGCTAAAAGCAATTTGGTTTTATTATGAGCCTTGATGAACCGTTGAATCAACGCACTGATAACATGAAACATGTTCCAAACTTTAAACATCCTCAGTCAAAATGTTTCTCCTAATAATATTAATAAATACTACAAATGCCGATGTTAGGACACTTTTTATATGATCAATTTTGGGATTTTTAGGAAGGCTTAAATAAAATATAGACATTGGAAAAGAATAAAAGTCAGCTTTATTTTAGAAAAAATACCCCCATACTCCAAATCATGTTTATACAATAACGTTGGTGCATTTTACACATATTACTTTAGAAATGATTAATCAAAAATGTTTGATATTAAATGATGACCATGTAGCACTTAGTACAGTATGTATGAATGCAGTCAGTATAGCCTAGCAACAAAGATGGGGTGTTCAACAGTAGGTTTTCTGCTCATACAGCAGACGTCAGTTATGACATTAATACTTGTTACCCAGTAGAGGGCAGTGTGTGTGAGTATACATGTATGCATGTATTTCCATTATTGTTACAGCTTGTGAAGTGAAACAGTGTAAACATTTTTCATTCAGTAAATCTAAGAAAAAACACATTCAAATGCTCAAAAAGATTCCATAAACTTAGGAATCATATATATGAAAAGAAAAAAAAACTATATTTGATCGATACAAGGCATGAGAAGCTTCATCTCTACTGTGTGTTTTTAGTTTTTTGTGAATATGCACTAATAGACCTCAGAGTGATTGAGTAAGGAAATTAAATCTATATGACAAGTCATGAAGCACTGGAGTTATTAGTTATAGTCCATCTTTTCAACACGTTTGCAGCACTCAGGCTTTGTATGAAAAAAATGATCTGTGGGTATGTCAAGTCCTTTGGAACTCCTAACACGCTACGAGCCAGCCCTCATCTGTATTCCTGAGAGAAGACGGATGATCTCCTGCCCTATCTATCCATGCTACGTTCCTTTTTTTTCACTGTAATTACAAGAGATCCTGGAGGAGGAGGCAAAAATGTGGAGATGATACAGAACACCAGTGTACATGTATATGCCTGAGAATTATGCTAAAACTTCACATAACCCTGTGAAAAATGGCTGGTCATAGCTGCCCCTCCTCGAAATGTAGGCAGATGTGTGACGGATGCCCTCACTCAGCCACCTGGAAAAAAAATATATGAGAAAGTCAATACTCCCAAACATTTGGATCGAAGCGGAGTGTCAAAGCCTCAATATTTCAGTCATGAAATAGGCAAATAAAGCAGCAAGGTGTGAAAGACATAAAAGACAAAAATATGGCTGACATAAATCATGAGAGCATACCAGTTGATCTGACTTCCACACATGTCCTCTTGCACTCGTCCTCTGTGTCAAATCGATTTTTGTTGCCATTGCAGCCTCCGTACCAGAACTGGGCGCACGCATTTGCTTGTTTGTCATAGTACCAGCGGATGCTGTAGTCCCTGCACGTGCCTTGGTCCAGAACCAAGCCACAGCGGGGGTCCAAGGGGACAGTCTCTGCAGGAGAAGATAACATATGAATGAGAGAACTTGTTTCCACCTAATCTAACCTCAGAGTGGCCCTTTCTGCTCCGTTTCTTCACCATGCTGTCAGAAAAGAGCAGATTGCACAAAATCAGCCACACTGCATCAAAAATAATTGGCTTCCCTGTTCTTCACCTTGCTGCGCACACAGCAGAAAGGCCACATCAACGAAAGCTGCTCCCTTTCTGCTGCCTGTACTCAAAGCACACTGGACTGGAACTCCAAAGGAGCTTCATCTACTCCATCAGGTGTCATCACACCACATTTGCAGCCATCTCAAAACTGAGATTGCTGACTATTCGTTTAATGCCCCAGTGTCACTATCCCTTATCAGCACTATACTATACTGCTATCAGCACTATACGGACAAAAATATAACAGGGTGCAAAACACAGAAAACATTTAAACATGAACGGATTATTATGTACCACCCCCACACTGAAGGCAGAGGTTTGGATTTCAGTAATTATCTGATATCATAAGTAATTTTCTGTGCCATTATTCATTTCAGTTGTTGACATTAACATCTGTTTGCAGGTTCTTATAAAAAAATATTCATGTCAATTCAATTCAATTCAATTTTATTTATATAGCGCCAAATCACAACATAAGTCGCCTCAAGGCGCTTCATAGATACAGAGAAAAAAACCCAAC